GAAGTCCAAGGGGATCGTATACATGCTAAGCCAAAGGCAATGCTGTCAAAATCTACTTTTCTCCTCTTTGACTCTTCACTTCCAAAAAGGTATTACAATATTCTCAGTGCACTTGACTGCTTGCCACTCCTGGGATGCAATCATCAACTCAGCCAAAACCAGAGCCGCTTCAAAACCCGCAGGAGATACAGCTGCCCTCACGCAATCTGCACAGGGACTCTACCCACGCTTTCAAGTGCCATGTGCCAAACACACGTGGAAGGTGTGCAGAGGCAGAGATGCATGCTCAGCCTCACGTGCCTGTGTACGCAGGTACCACACCTGGCAGAGGTAGGACCACCCTCAGGACTACACATTCCTCCCAGTCACCCCCACGCAGAGCACAGTCAGATATTTTCAGCTACCCCAACTAGAGCTGCTCCAATGTAACGCTGAACGTGCAGCCTCTGCATCCTTGGGATGCACACTGCAATTAACAGGTCAAAATAACGCTGCAGCATGCAGTGCTTCAGGGCTGAAATCCTGACTTTTCTGGACCTTGAGAACTCAAACCAGCAGCTCTCTGCCCCAGGGGAACACCACAAGCATCATCTCTTCCCATCCCTCCATGAACAGTCCCTACTAGCAAAGCCACCAGCCCTGGGCAGCTCTCCCACAGAGACTCTCCAGCTGGCACTGCACTGCAGTTTGAGTGAGGAAACCTGGAGGAAGTCTTATGTTGTGTATTGTTCCCCGCAAAGGGAAGAGGACAGACTACAGGGGCAGAGCTTTTCTAGGGGCCACAAGTCGGCATGACCAGGCCTCCGGGCTGCTGCAATGTTCTCACCTTCAGTAGACAATGCAATGCCTGATCTTCTATCTACCTGTATCCTGGCCAGCCTCGCAATTCAATCACAACTTGATTTTAGCAGCTGCTTTCGCTCTCTCAGAGACACACACATGCACGCAAGTGCACTCCCTCAAGCAGCTGTAAAATTCAAGCTTAGCTGGGTAGGTAGGGCCTCTCGTAAAGCACTTGGGACTCAGAGAAGGAGACAGCTTCAAAAACTTGGAGGATTATTGCCTTACACCAGGATTTGAGAGGGCTCCATCCCTAGCCTTCTTGCTCTACCAGCTCTTGAGACAGCACTACTAAACTTGTATCAGCACTGCACCGGAAAAAAGCAAGAGGAACAGAGGAAAACAGGCAGTGGGGGATGCCTGAGGCTGGCTGATGTGATTTGCAATAGCTAGAGAAGTTTGCTGGAGGCTCTGGCCTCTCCTCCAGCCACTACCCTCTCATCTACTCTCCTCATCCCTGATTTCACCTCTCTGCTTTGCCACCGTCAGTGAGCACAAACCCTAGGTCAGGTTGGTGCTGGCCGTGGCTCGTGGGCCCAGCCCAGCCTGGCAGCCACAACAGCATCTGTGCATCTATTAAACCCAACAGAGCGTTTGGGAGGCGGAGGTCAGCCTAAGCAGCATATGGAGCAACTGCATGGCAAATACTGGCCTCCCCAGGAGCCGTCTGCCACAGATGGAAAAAGCCCAGGAGCCCTCACAACGAAATCTTCTGGCTGAGGGCGATGTATCCTCCCTGTCGGCTTTCCAAGCCACTGAGCAATACTGGAAACGTCAGCTCCTCTTCCACCGTGTGCACGCCTGGCACTGACTCACTCGCTGCCGCTTTGGTCCTGCGGTTTGTCGGTGGGAGGTGCAGAAGGTGGGATGTGGCGATGAGGTAATCCCAATGGCGTGTGGCTACCACAGGAGAATGGGACTAGCCACCCACTCCAGTAGCATGAGCTGTCTGCGCATCACGTGGACATGCCAACTAGATCTGGGTCCAGCCTGCTGCTGTGGCCATGGGGATTTTTTAACCTTGACTGTTGGTGGGGGTGGGATACTCCACCACAGGACTATACACAGTCTTCTCCTGGAGAAAGACATCACTTCACACGGTCAGAGGGCTTACTCAGTGTGCAATCAGGAACACAGAGAACATCAGGGAAATGCAGGCAAGTCACCGAAGTGATACTCCAGCTGTGAGATCTCTCAGGCCAAGGGACACCATGTGGCCCACGGAAGCCGTGGCATTTCCCCAGCTGAAATCACCTACAAATCGAGCACAGGCTCACAGCCCCACACTGGCCAGAGGCCAGGAAGGGGAGCTACCATGGTTTCTCCAGCTTCGATTCCTCAGAGCACTGTGATTCCTCTCCATCTGAAACTATTCCACTGGCTGCAATTTAAAAACAAAATCAATCCAGCAAACATTGCTAAGCAACTGGCTGTCAGTGCCACATCCCACCCTGCCGAAAGTATTTGCCCTCTCCACGACCTTCCATAAACTTGCTGCTCAGCCCTTGCTAGTTTTTCTACAGTCAGCTATCGCTGGCAAGTCCAGATGCTTGGCTGGATTAGCAAACTCCAGGAAATCTTCTGCAACTGTCCTGGTGAAAACATCCCACAGAGAGGCTGTAATGAGCAGCACTCCTGTGTCCCAGGCACTAGGGTCAGGACGAGCTGCTGGTCTCAGGGGATTACTGTGGTCTGCAGGTCTGCAAGTCTTCGTGCTGCCACGCATTGTACATAGGGGATAAAAGATGGAGAGTAAACAGGCTGAAAACCTGGTCACAGAGCAGAGCAAGCTGCTCTGGGCAACAACATTTGGCTGTGAGGTTGAAGGAGAACCTGCTTGCCCATGGGGATGAGCTGAAGAGGTGGGTGAGACTCTCTTCAAAGCCTCCTGACCCCTCATGTGAGCTGGTCAGGAGCCCTTTGGCACAGTGCTGCCCCTCAGCACAGCTCCTGGCATGGCAGTGCCCCTTGGTGTGAGGCCCATGCTAGGATGCGCCTTCCCCCGAGGTCAACTAGAGCAGAATCGAGGTCCAGCTCTTTGGCTTCACTATCATACAAGAAAGCCTGAGCACTTCCAATCTGACTCACACAAAGCAGCCTAAGCCAGGTTTGCTCTTGACACCAAGTCTCCAGCAGGTCACACAGCATGAGCCCTGGGGGTTTCCTATCTCTGATGCTAGCCTGGTCTGTGGTACTCTGCTCTCCGCTTCACAGAAGAGACCTCTCCTAACCAGCTCCATGCTCCTTACACATTCTTACACAGCCACTAGCAATTTCACTCAGCTCCACCAGGCAACTCAGGACCTGCTCCCAGGTTGCACAGTACTGCCAGAGCGTTGCCCGCAGTAGCTTCCCCGACACCTGCACCATGAGCAAGGATTTCTTTCCAGAGAAGGCTTTACAAACTCTGCACCTTCCTCTCCCTTTCAGCCACCATGCCCGGACCCTTCTCCCTCCTCCATCCCCCTCCACCAGTGCCTGCCTCCCCCAGATCTCCCAGCAGCCCCATTTCCTCCATGGCCGCTCTAATGCTCGGCTAATGGTGCATCCTCTGCAGCATTGTTCAGACATATTCAATAAATCAGAATCCAATTACCGGGTTAAGGAAATTGAAAGCAAATGCAATTAGCCCCAGCCCCTCCCCCGTGCTGTGCCCTCGCTTCCTCCTTAATGAGAACTTCTCTTTCACAGGAGCACTCAGGGCCGCATTCGCCCGCCCAGGAACAAGGTGGCTGCCACCACACAGCGGGGGTATGGCGAGGGGGCAGCCGAGTCGATCTTCTCTTTTAATAGGGCAGATGGCTAATATCCCTGGCATTAATTCTCTCCAGGAATAGCACATTCACTCTCTGCTCAGCTATAACAGGCGTCCGTCAGGGCTGACAGCTCCTCTCTGGAGAAAGGAGCATCTGGTCCTTACTGTGCAAAGGAGCTAAAAGAATAAATAAATAAATAAGCACATTGCTTGCTATAGGGCTGGAAAACTGGTGGTGTTTCTGTATTTGAGCCTAAGTGCTGCATTTGGACTGGAAGAGGGGAAATTCAGAGTTGGGTCAGATGCCGGGAGCTGAGTCACTCTGACCTGGGAGCAAGGTACAGCCTGGGCAGCATAGGCAGCAAGGTGCCATGGCTGGGTCCAGCAGAGCTTCCACGGGAGAAGGACTTCCCCCCAAAGGGCTCCCAGGAGAAGCGGTAGAGGACGGCTGCTGCCTGCGGGCTAGGACGTAATCTGGGGCACAGCTCCCCTGGAAGGGCTTGCACCAGCTGTGGATGGGGACCGCTGGCAGGGGGCAGGAATACACTGCATCCTCAGAGGACAAGGAGGAAAATTGCATTGAGGGAACCTTGGGATTATTTCCTACACCAGCAGGACACTCCAGCATCGATCCATCCAGCAGACTAACAATCAACCCCAACAACCATCAACAACCTGCAGCTGTGAAGGACAGCTCCTTCCCCAATGAGTTTGGAGAGGTGACCAGAGGGAGGATACAGCTGCGCTCACGGCAAGCAAGGGTGCACCAGAACTCCCATCCTGCCCTTCTCAGGCTGACAGCAGCAAGGAAGTGCAAGTCCCGCAAGGCATCCCTCGAAGCAATCCTCTCTGCCTTTCCCAAGAGGTTCTACAGGTACTGAAGGATATTTTTGTCCCTGACGGGCTGGAGCAGCTAGTAACCCAACAAATTCTTACCTTCCTCTTCCCCTCACTCAGCAATAGTCCCTTATTCCCCACATTAACTCCTCTCTCTGAAGAGTAAAGTAAGTGCTCAACAGTTATTTTATCCCCCTTGCACCATTTCATTGCATACTCTGCAGAGCAAGAGTTCTCAGCACCAGTGAAGACTTTGTCCATCATGGAGATGCACTCTCACACACCCATTACTTTTCTGAAGGAAAAAAAAAAAAAAAGAAGCTTTTTTTTTTCTATGGTCCTGGAATAATTCATACAAGTTTTAATTAACAGGTTCAGGACCTCCAGACATGGCAAGAAATCAAGCAAAGTGAAAGATTCAATCCTAAAAACACAACCCAGGCAGTGGGTGAAGGGCCCAGACCCACCTAGCATCCCAAAACCATGGCCCTGAAGAGAAATGGGACTATCCACCCATATAATGAAGTTTCTTGAGGAAGATCAGGAGAAACCGGGGGGGAGGCAGAACCTGTGATGGCGGGTGTCGCGGACGGCACGGTCACTGGGGATCCTCTCGCTCTCCCGCTGGTTAAAGGCATGGAGCCGGTAAGGGTCCTCGCCGCCCTTCCACCTCCGGGCACTCAGGTACCTCCGCTCTTCAAACTGATCCCAAAGGTCGTCCCAGTCCACGTCCGAGCCCTGCGCGCACAAAGTCAGCCCCGTTAGAAAGAGGAGAGACTGAAGGACACCTGACCCTGCTCCGGAGGTCCTCCCAAGACCTGCCGGAGGTCGGTCAGCCCCGCAGCATGGGCAAGCTTTGCAAGAGCAGGCTAACAAGGAGCCTCATTAGGTCTTCAGGGGTTTTTCTTTTCCTTAGGTTTTGAAACAGCATGTCAAATAGAGCCTGCCAATTTGAATTTAAAATTACTACTTTGAAACCAAATTCAGGTCTCTGGTGGACCACCCTCTCAAACAGCACAGTCTCAAGAAATATAATAGCACAAAGGTCTTGTTAGGGTTTAAGTTTCTCTCCAGCCAAAAACCAAAGGTATTTTACACCACATGCCTCATCAACCCTGTAACCCTTCAGGCAGGGAAGGGCCATCAGACAGGAGCAGTTTCACCAAGCACAAACCCATGTTTCCACAGCCGTACCCTGGCCCCAGGGCCAGCTCCAGCAGTGGGACCCTGAAAGAAGGGAACCATCATCCTCCCAGTCTCATTTCGGTCAATCTTTGCCACAAGTCTCCTACTGAGGACTTCAGCCCCACCGCAGGGATAAGAGCGGGCAAGTATGTGTCCATTTGGTCCTTCCCCTCCAAAAGGATGGAGGAGCTGCATTTCAGGGTTACTCAACAGCTCTGACAGCCATCGGGGTGGGGGGGTTTAAGCACCCCTTGGCAGCTTGGTGCCATCAGGAGGTTTAAGCATCCCTCGGCAGCATGATGCTGTTGGGGGGTTTAAGCATTCCTTGGCTGTGGTGCCTGAGCCAGTGAGCACAATGCAGCGCCGATAAGATCTCATCGTTACAGCAGCACAACCTCTTTGATCTCAGCCTACGTACAACACAGAGAGATGCAAACATTTACAGACATCTCAGCTCTAAAGAAAATTGTGATCTTATCCCATAATTGATCTTTTCTTCTTCTTTTCTTTTTTTTTTCCCCTCCTCAGTTCATACCATCTCAAAGCCGATTTTGCCTGCTAATAGCGCAAAATGAAGCTTTTGAAATGAGCGATTTTTATCCTGTAATTGATTTTACTTGCATCTGGTAGCACTTTTTTTTCTAGTCATAGGAAGGGGAGGAGGAAGCACTGACTCCTGCAAGTGAACCATGGCAAGACCAAGCTGGGCAACTCCAGCCACACGATGCCCCACACTACCCTGGGTCACAGCAACACGAGCACCCCCGAAAAGCCGACAGACCCCAGGGATACAGGGGTTTCCAGATATAGGATCATATTCATCTTCCCCCATTGTGACCCCATGGCTTTCTCAGGAACTCCAGCACTTACCCCAGTGCAGGGAAGATCAGAAGAAACCCTCAAGCCACCAAACATACTGGGAGAAAGTTACTCAGGACAAGGAGAGAGTTATTCAAGGCTGGGAGAAAGTCATGAAACCAGTAAGGTCACTGCAGGAGGCTTAAAAGGAGAATGTACGTAACCTGCCTGCAGGCTTTCAGGAGGACCGACATATGCAGGGTGATAAATATTGTTTATGTTTTTTCTAAGGCATCTTGCAAAATGTGATTTACCACCACAGTAAAAGATCAGGGAAAAGCGAGCTGATTGCATCACAGAGCCACCAACAGTCTGATGTTTATAAGATTTCATGATGACCCTGGGAGGTCTGGCGCCATTGAAACAACCACCACGGAGTTGCGGTCCCTAAATTTTAATGCTGTGAAGAAAAGTAAAAGTCGGTTTTATCAAACTTAACAAGAAGAGAAATGGCTTTCAAAAGCAGCCACATAGCACTCAAGGCTGTTGGATGTGTATACTTTCTTTTTTTTTTTTTTTTTTTTTTTAAATGTCAGTTAAAACAAGTAGCCTTGGATCAGCTAGAAGGGTGCAGCCAGGCAACCATCAGACAGCTCAAGCAGGAGGGCTGCCAGATTCCCACCAGCAGCCATGGCTCCGGGAAAATTGGAGCTTCTGCACATTCTGCAAGGGCAGCACAGTTCTGGCCAGGCCAGCAAAAGCAGGGGTCAGCACACAGGAAGGTCCTGGCACATGCTTAGAGGTCTGGGACGGCATTTCACCAGCATCCATCTAACCCCACTACCATCCTGTTACTGGGCAGTCCCAACAATGAATGGACAAATACCAGTGCCTTATCCCATGGCATTTGCTTTTCATCCTGCCCTGGATATACCTTGCATCCAAGGGCTGCATTCTTGGTTCACACCACCGTGAAGAACTAATACCCCTGCGCAATCTCCACCTAAAAGACATCAGCCCACCTTGATTCACCCAGGCTCTCCTTTTTGGGTTGAGGAAAGCTATCAGTAGGATGATTCCTAAATATCAGATAGCTAAATGCACATCTGAGATCAAGAGCAAATAAGATGCCAAATAGAGATTAAAGAGTTATTTTAATCACCATCTGGCCACAAAACAAGCCCAGGGATTGGGTTAACTTTCTCAGCCAGAGGTAGATACCCAAGTTTGGTCATTTGCTTTCAATCCATATCTCCTGGGTGTCCTTCAGCTTTCCATCCCAAGCCTCCCCTCGAGAGTAACTGAAATTGGAGCAGGATGCTCAGAGACACCAATCTCTGCAAAAAAATTTCTGCACACAGCAGCGAGGGTAAGTGAGGTAGCAGCCTTGGATGAAAAGCTCCCAGCTACGCAAGTGGTGGGAGGCAGGAGACCTCCCCGACCTGCGTGCAGGGACTCGTCTGTTTCTCAGCGTCTGATCACGGACGGGGAAAGCAAGTTAAACCATAAGGAGAAATCCCCATCTCTCACTCAAGGATAGCGCATCAGTTACAGGTTACTGGGTAAGGTCTTCATTATAATATTTCCGCCATGTATTATCACCTCTTCCTCACACCAGAATTCTGTCTTGGGAGTTAAATAACTGATGTGCAGAAATCTAAATTTAATTTATTATGATCTAACTCACTTTAGAAGCCAAATTACCCTGCACTAGAAAAGGATCAAGTCAATACTCCACTTGCCTTTCTATTTATCTTCTACAGGGTTCCTCTCTCCAAGTTTCATATTCATTTTCTCTCATGTACTAGTAATAAATTTTCATTTTTTTTCTTGGAATTAGGTAATTTCTTTTTCAACATTGCAGTTTAATGGCTGGTATTAATTATAGGAAACACAGTCAATGCTTAAAAGAGTTTGAGAGACTCAATGAGTCTACAGGAAAGAGAGGAAAAAAATATCCAAAGGGTAGCCAGCTGCTCTTGGCAAACAAGTGCTGCCCCCTCCAACGCTGCATCGGGAGGGTTCCTGGGGGGAGTGGATGAGAGGGACCCCCCAGGCAAAGAGACAGGGACGAAACTCATTGCAGAGAGCAGCTCCCATCTCACACCAGCACTCAGCTGAGAGCAGGTCTCGCTAACAGCCTTCTCCTTCACCAGCTCACTAATAGCATCCCCCCCCCCCAAACCCCCCACCCACTAAAGTCACCCCCCCCAAAACCGCCTGCCACCTCTGCTGGCGAAGGGCAAACATCAAACCCCTAGAGCAAGCAGAGAGGCAGATTTTCACTGTAACTGTACATTAAAGATCGAAACCCTCTTGGTGCAAAGATGTAGTTCATCATCTGCCTCTTAAATCACGGCTCAGAAACACCAAAAAAAAAAAAAAAGAAAACAATATTAAAAACAAAAGGAGTGGTGCTGGGGGGGGGAGGGTGGGTCATTAACAGCAAAACTACAATTTTCTGGCAAGCGCTAATGCCTTGTTTATGTGGATTTCTGTGAATATGACATTTTAATGGCGTAATAATTGTGTGATTACAGTATAGCAGGGATCGCTGGAGCGGGAAGAAGGAAGAAGCAACCCAGCCGGCTGCTACTGCAGGCCCACAGCATCCCCACAGGATGCTCTGCCCCCTCCTGCCTGCACCCGCAGTTTTTTTGCACCCCTCGCCAGCACGGGAGGCCAGAGCAGGCTGAACATCAGGCAGGGGCCAGCACGTTGCAGCAGCACCTTGGCCACAGTGAGGTGGCCCAGCTGGGAAAGGGCATTTCGGGTGAAAAGCCTGGCCCAAGCGCACCCCTCGCCAGCACGGGAGGCCAGAGCAGGCTGAACATCAGGCAGGGGCCAGCACGTTGCAGCAGCACCTTGGCCACAGTGAGGTGGCCCAGCTGGGAAAGGGCATTTCGGGTGAAAAGCCTGGCCCAAGCAGAGCCGGTGGTGACCGAGGACAGGCAGGTCGCACTTCCAGCTGCCCAGGACGAAAAGGAGTGGGTGGCACAAGCCAAAAGTGGACTCTGATTCACTTCCTTCTTTCGTGTCACTGTTTTAAAATAGAGAACTTAAGCCTTTGCTAAAATAAAAGCCGGTTTACTTTTGGGGCTGCTGAGCATTGCCATTAGGGCAAGGCAAACCTTTCAGGAGGCCACAAACCCAAGCCAGCCTGGCAGCTGGCAGAGCTGCTGGCGTTTGCCAGGGACCACCAGGCTTTGCCCAGGTTAAGGGGTTTTGTCTGTGCAGGTGCAATGATGACCCCGAGGGGGTCTGGCAGTGACAAATATGCCTCTACCTCAGCCTGCCTTCACACCCAGCTTTCCCTGGAAAATCTCATCCCTACATAATCCCTGACCAAACACTCACCACTGAGCCTCCATCCTGCCTTCCCTAAGACTCGGGCATTAAAAAAAGGAGGGGAGGGGGAAATAAAAAAATATATCAGCCTAGCAAGAGCTCCACTAAACAAGTGAAAACTCTAGAAACTCGGATGCCACACAGCATGTTGCTGCCCAGCCGTGCTTGGTCACTCCTCTGCCTGTGGAGGGTTGGCACACGTGTGCGTGTTCGACACAGGTCAGG